ATGGCCCCTGCATCACCACCGGCAGGCGTGGCTCCGAACAGCTGCTCACAAGGCCAATTACGGAGACCGTGTTGATCTCAGCCGAGATCAATCTGTTGATGTCAGCCGAGGGGTGGCAGATGCGGTGACGTAGCCGTCAAATCTTAAGTAATTTAAATGTTTCTTTTATATATGTATACGTATATTCTTAGGTTTTTCGGTAAAGTCACGTAGGTAACAAATTAAAATTAATAAAAGTAAAATAAAAATAAAATAATTTTTTTATTTTTATTTTACTTTTATTAATTTTAAATTTTTACCTACGTTACTTTACCGAAAAAAACCTAAGAATATGAATCCTTGCAGTCACGAAAGCTTCAAATCTAAAATGTATACGTATGTTTAGCTTCTTTGGCACTAAATTTCGATTTAAAGCTTTCATGACTGCAGGGATTCATCTTCTTGGTTCTTTCGGTAAAGTCACGTCGTGAGAATTATTTTATTTTATTATGTTTTATTTTTATTTTTTTATTCTTTTTGCACCGTGCTCATCGGAGTTGCGTTGGAATGACAACAAACTAAACGCAAAAAGCAGTTTTAACGAAATGAGTCTGTCAGTTTAGATGATGATGGTGATGATTTAAAAGTGCTTCACTGCTCTCAGTGGCGTCCTAATATCGGAAGGAAGAGCGTTCCAGACGGCCGCAGAAGCTCATCCGTTTGTTGTTGTTGTACATTGCGACTGGCGCAATCCAATAAGTTGCCAGAGCTCTGCAGTCCTATATTTGGATGCTTGTCCAATTCCATTAGCGAGCTGTTTCAACTGACCACACAACTCACCCACACCAGTGTACGGACACTCACCACACAGCTCACCAGAGCAGTGTGTGTCTGTTTATTCGTCTATTTGTGTGTCTGTGTGTACGTGTGGTTGTGTCATCAAGTCTTTATGTTTTCTTGTTTGTGTTTGTCTATGTTGCTGTGTATATCTCGCCGTGTCTTCATCTATAGTAGCAACATCTATGCAAAACTATTCTTTTACCGGATAATGCCCACTAAGCTACACATAGCTCATTCTAGATTTGAAGCTTTCGTGGCTGCAAGGATTCATATTCTTATGTGTTTTCGGTAAAGTCACGTAGGTAAAACATTAAAATTAATAAAAGTAAAATAAAATAAAAATCACGACGTTTCGGAGGCAACACAAGCTTCCGTCTTCAGGTGGAACCGCCACAGCCACGACAGCTGTATCAAGTAAATGAGAGATTGCAAGAGCTACCACTCCGTTTATATAATGGTTGGAGAGGGGGGGGGGGGAGCGGCAAGTACAGCACACTTTTTATTCATATGGTAAGGTGAGGCTTAAGAGGGTGAGCCTTTGTTATGGTTTGTGACAACTAAACATGATAAACATGGTCAACCTGTAATAGTTGTCTGTCAAATAAGATTGGCCAGATAAGTGTAGTTAAATCTTTTTTGCATGGTTAATCACATCTTTCCAATGATTACTCAGTTTGTAACCGTCATCACGGTTGAATTATGTCTGTGTTTGTATATTTGTATGGCTTCGTGTACAAACCTTTGATGGTAGCCAGGAGGTTTGCAGAGAACCTTGGTCTCGGAAAAGACAATTTCATGAGAGCCCACCGAGTTGTAGCAATGATCGGCAACGGCCGAAGAATCAGTTCTACATAGCTCTTTTCAGAAGCGACATGGCCATTCCCAATGATAGCTCGACTGAGTGGCTTATATCGTGAACATATATAACAGCCACTTGCTCTAAATGCACGACGATTCCAAATGTGTAGGGGAAATATTCTTAGGTTTTTTTCGGGTAAAGTCACGTGGGTAAAAAATTTCAAATTAAAAAAAGTAAAATAAAACATGATAAAAATGACGACGTTTCGGAGGACCCGGGAGAAAAATCCACGCGACCATTGGGAGAGAGACACACGCACAATCCAAATATACAGCAGCAGGCGTCAAGGTCGGGATAGAACCCACGACCTCCTGGAAACCAGGCGAGGCAGATAACGTCTCACCAGCGTGGTGTCCTGTTTGCTTGCGTGCTTGTCCTGTGCTGCACATACCCTTGTGCGGTCTGTGTCACTCGTGAGGTCCACGTCACTCGTGTGGTCTACGTCGCTTCACGCTATCGACATCACATCAAACTCTTAGTTCTTTCGGTAAAGTCACGTAGGTAAAAAATTTAATGTAAATTAAAATAAATAAATAAAAATCACAACGTTTCGGAGGCAACACAAGCTTCCGTCTTCAGGTGAAACCGTCACAGCAAAAAAATCTGCTGTGACAGTTTCACCTGAAGACGGAAAAGCTTGTGTTGCCTCCGAAACGTCGTGATTTTTTTATTTTTTATTCATAATTAAATCTGCTGTGACAGTTTCACCTGAAGACGGAAGCTTGTGTTGCCTCCGAAACGTCGTTATTTTTTAAATTTATTTATTTTATTAATTTTAATTTAATTTTTTACCCACGTGACTTTACCGAAAGAACTAAGAGTATGAATCCTTGCAGTCACGAAAGCTTCAAATCTAGACATCACATCACCCTTTCCGCGCGTGAGCCCCAGGCTCTCTTAGTGGCTCACGCTACCGGCTTGCTATCGGGTGAGCACCGCTCTGCATCCTCCCCCCCCCCCCTCGCTTTGTTGTGTACAGAGAGCTATGGCCATCGTGGAGCCAAAGAATTACATAACAGGCAGCAGCCAGCCAACGCTGATTGTAGCCGTCCTGGACATCGCTCATTCGGAGGCCCCCATTGATTCTCCTGTCCGCGCCGCGCAGTGAATTCTCACGAATTCAGGGTCGAGGTTTTCGACTCGAGGAACGTTTTGTGTTTTTTGTTTGTGTCGTTGCGTGCGCGCGCGGTGCAGAATCTATCGCTCCTCCAAGGCTACGGTGGATCGATCGCCTCGTGATGTCTCGTCGTCGTTGTCGCCACCCACTGGACGTCTGTGAAATAGAGCTTTGTAGCTCATCGGATTACTCCAGTAATGCATACTTATTACGATTCTGATCGTCGTCGTCATCATCATGGCCGTCATTATCGTGGTGCACCACGTTGGTGAGATGTTAACTACCTCGCCTGGTATGCAAGAGGTCGTGCGTTCGATCCCAACCCTGACGCCTGCTGCTGTATATTTGGAGTTTTGCGTGTCTCTCTCTCTCATAATCATCACGGTGGCTAGGAGATGTTAACTACCTGGCCTGGTATGCAGGAGGTCGTGGGTTCGATCCCGACCCTGACGCCTGCTGCTGTATATTTGGAGTTTGCGTGTCTCTCTCTCTCATAATCATCACGGTGGCTAGGAGATGTTAACTACCTCGCCTGGTATACAGAAAGTCGTGGGTTCGATCCCAACCCTGACGTCTGCCGCTATATATTTGGAGTTTGCGTGTCTCTCTCTCTCTCATAATCATCACGGTGGCTATGAGATGTTAACTACCTCGCCTGGTACACAGGAGGTAGTAGTGGGTTCGATCCCAACCCTGACGCCTGCCGCTGTATATTTGGAGTTTGCGTGTCTCTCTCTCTCATAATCATCACGGTGGCTAGGAGATGTTAACTACCTCGCCTGGTATACAGGAGGTCGTAGGTTCGATCCCAACCCTGACGCCTGCCGCTGTATATGTGGAGTTTGCGTGTCTCTCTCTCTCATAATCATCACGGTGGCTAGGAGATGTTAACTACCTGGCCTGGTATGCAGGAGGTCGTGGGTTCGATTCCGACCCTGACGCCTGCTGCTGTATATTTGGAGTTTGCGTGTCTCTCTCTCTCTCTCATAATCATCACGGTGGCTATGAGATGTTAACTACCTCGCCTGGTACACAGGAGGTAGTAGTGGGTTCGATCCCAACCCTGACGCCTGCCGCTGTATATTTGGAGTTTGCGTGTCTCTCTCTCTCATAATCATCACGGTGGCTAGGAGATGTTAACTACCTCGCCTGGTATACAGGAGGTCGTAGGTTCGATCCCAACCCTGACGCCTGCCGCTGTATATGTGGAGTTTGCGTGTCTCTCTCTCTCATAATCATCACGGTGGCTAGGAGATGTTAACTACCTCGCCTGGTAAACAGGAGGTCGTGGGTTCGATCCCAACCATGACGCCTGCCGCTGTATATTTGGAGTTCGTGTGTCTCTCTCTCTCCCCGTGGTCGCGTGGATTTTTCTACAGGTCCTTCGGTCCCCCCCACATTTAGAGTCAACATCATGCGTTTAGAGTATTTGGCTGCTATACGTTACGGCAATGATAAGCCTCTTTGTTGAGCCATCACTTGCAATAGTCAGGGCCTATCGCAAATGGTGCCTTACCTGGTAACATAAAAAAAGAATTTCGATTTAAAGCTTTCGTGACTGCAGGGATTCATCTTCTTGGTTCTTTCAGTAAAGTCACGTAGAATGGAAATAAAATAAAAATAAAACATAATAAAATAATTCTCACGACGTTTCGCCACAACGCAAGCAGCCACAACGCTGCTTGCGTTGTGGCTGCAACGTCGTGAGAATGATTTTATTATGTTTTATTTTTATTTTATTATTTCCATTCGACGTGACTTTACCGAAAGAACCAAGAAGATAAAATAAAATGTTTAGCTATAGATATCGATCATTTATCATCCCCATCATCATGGCTGGATGAATGCTTCCCCCAAGAGCAGTCGCTCCCCTGCCCTCCCCACCCCCAACTCCGATCAAATAATCCTGCCGCACGGATCGACTTCGCCGCTCCATCTCCACGTGTTGGCGTCCTCCTCTCGGACCGCCGCGTTCCATCCCTTGGCTGCGCCTCCGTTGTGAGTCTCGACCCCCACCGCCGTCCCCATAGCGACCGCCCCCCCCCCCCCCAAGCCCCACTCACTCTTCCGAACAGATCGGTGGTGATGGTGATGATGGCGATGATGGTGACGATGATGTCATTGACGCTATGTGTACGTTTGTGTGAGGGTGGGGGTAGCAGTAGCCGTCAGCGCTACGCCGCGCTACGAACCCGGCGATCTGAGTGAGATTCCCGCTCACGGCCAACAACACCGGTGACGATCATCTGAACCGGTTTCCGACCTCCCCTAGGTCGACTCAGCCTCAAATAACACATTGTCCTCCCTCCCCCCCCCGCTCCCCCTCCTACCCCATCTTCTCAAACACCACACTCTCCTCACCACCCTCCTCTCACCATCCTCTCACCATCCTCTCACCATCCTCTCACCATCCTCTCACCATCTTCTCACCATCCTCCTCTTACCATCATCCTGTCAACATGCTCCTCTCATCCTTCATCCTCCTCCACCCACCTTGTCCCCTCCCCCACCACCCCACCCCAACCCCCCTCCCCTCACCCCCCCATCAGAAAGCCGACCTGGCCGTCGCTCCGCTCACCATCAACTACATGCGCGAGAAGGTCATCGACTTCTCCAAGCCCTTCATGACCCTGGGCATCAGCATCCTGTACCGCAAGCAGAACGGCACCAACCCGAGCATCTTCTCCTTCCTGATCCCCCTCTCGCCCGACATCTGGATGTACATCTTGCTCGCCTACCTGGCCGTCAGCTGCGTCCTCTTCGTCATCGCCAGGTAGCCCACGTGCGTGTGTGGCGTGCGTGGCGTGTGTGGCTGAGTGGACTTGCCGATGACTGGTACCAGCGGTGTCAAGATCGGCCTCTGTGGAGGAGGCTCGTTAAGGACGCTGCTGCTACTGGGCAGTTGGAGGCAGTCGCCCCTCTAGCAACAACGGAGGGCGGAGGAGCGACGCTCACAACAACGAGCGGAGTGCCGGGTGGCTAAAGCACAGCAAGTTGGCACAATAGGGGGCACAGGTGGTGCATCAGCCAGTCATCTCGGTCATCTCAATCAGTCGACCCGTGGCACTTGGGTCTGCCCCGTGACCTCCTGCCAGCGGGCGTTCGACACTTCACGTGGCCTCAACGTGCACATGGCCTGGCACAAGAGTCGTGGTGACGTCACCGCCACTTAGTGGCGAATGGCGGTTGTTGTTGTTGTGTGTGTATGGCGTGTGGCGCGCGTGTGTGTAGGCCTCGGCAAGGCAAGGTAAAAGGTGAAAGATAAAAACAACGACCCTACCTTTACCCTACCTTTTACCTTACCACAATACAATCACTCTACCCTACCATTCACCCTTTAGCAGGTAAGGTACAAGGTAAAAAGCAACGAGTCTGCCTTTATCCTACATTTTACCCTTGCCCCATTCAAATGACCTGATTACAGGGTAATTACTGGAGTACTACCAGGGGCGGTTTCTTCATTAGGGCGATTGGGCGACGCACCACCAATGTCATTGAACCACAGAGTCACGCTTGCCGTTATTGTGCCTCTGGATATAGTCCAATCAGCGTCATGTCACGTTCTGTGGAGTACCGCCTCTTTTTGGGCGATTTCACTCCGGCTGAGAATCGCCCCGAGTGGCCCCATAGACTTACATTGAAAGATGGTTTTTTTTCGAACGGGGGCGCTCCAATGCATTCTCTATGGCTTCCGGGAGGGCTCGCCCTAACGTGCTAACGTCATCATACGTAAGCACGTTTCATCCAACAATATAATTTATCGCCACCTAGTGGAATCTTTAATAAAATAAACTTGAGTGGTTTGTTTTAATAGTGAGTATAGAAACAAACAAAATGTATTGTAAGAGTCACTTCATTTTTCATTAATATTAAAGAAGTGAAGTTGCCTTTACATGCTTAAGCTGTTAATTTATCCATTGCATGGGTGGACCTTATCCTTATCAATCATCCAGACATTTGCCCCCCCTGAGAGATTTTGCAGGAGCCGCCACTGGGTACTACTACACCTGAAAAAGGTTTTTTAACAGGATAAATTACCTTAGCTTGCCGAGGCCTACGTGTGTGTGTGTGTAGCTCACAAATCCTTGAACAGGTCTGGACGCTGTAGCTCGTCCGGTGGGCGAAGAGGCTGCGTCGGCCGTTATCACGTAGCCAATATTGCCCCAGCCACCGCATGGCCAGGCAGATTCTGTTTTGGCCAGATAGAGGGGGTGTGTGTGGGGGGGTGGGTTTAAAGGGCGCGGAACGAGCTGGAGAGGAGATGGAGCTGGTACAGGAGGGTGTGGAGCTGAGTGGACTTGCCGATGACCGGTACCAGCGGTGTCAAGATCGGCCTCTGTGGAGGAGGCTCGTGAAGGACGCTACTGGGCACTTGGAGGAAGTCGCCCTCCAACAATAACGGAGGGTGGAGGAGTGACGCTCACAACAACGAGCGGAGCGCCGGGCGCCTAAATTGCAGCTGGTTTGCACAGCAGGGGTCACAGTTGATGCATCTGCAAAATCATCTAAGCCTTCGACACTTCACGTGGCCTCAAAGTGCACCTAGCCTGGCACAAGCGCCGTGGTGACGTCGCCACCAATTAGTGGCGAATGGCGGCTGTTGTTGTTGTCTGTACACATGTTGCGTGCCTGCGTGTCTGTGTACGTGCGTGCATACGTGTGTATCTGTGCACGCGTGCGTACATGCGTGTCTATACAGGTGTGCGTACTTGTGCGTGCGTGTACGTGCGTACGTGTGCACGTGTGTGTGCGTGCGTACGTGTGCCTCTGTACACGTTTGCGTACGTGTGTGTCTGTACACGTGCGTACGCGTGCGCGTGTGCGTGCGTGCGTTCGCGCGTGCGTGCCCATGCATTTAAATAGCTGGGGGGGGGGTGGTGGTGGGTGCAGCCATTCCCCTACTAAAATATGCGTTCCATTAAAAGTGCGGCGGGAGAGGGGTGTGTGTGTGGGGGGGGGGGGATGAGTGTGGGGGGCAAGAGGAGAAATAACGAAAAAAAAGAATTGAAAGTCGTTTGTACAGCTCTGGCTGTTTAATGCGGGTGACGTGGAAACTAATTGCGCTCGTGCCGCGCATCCGCAGGAACAGAGACGTCGGCCTGCCGGTTTTCATGCTCTGTTAACAGACGCTCGCAAATGTTCATTGTGTGTGAAGGTGAGAACGTGCGCGCGTGTGTGTGTGGGGGAGTGCGTGCGTGTGTGCGTGTGGGAGTGCGTGCGTGTGTGTGTGGGGGGGGGTGCGTGCGTGTGTGTGTGTGGGGGAGTGCGTGTGTGGAGGGGTGCGTGCGTGTATGTGTGTGTGTGTGGGGGGGAGTGCGTGCGTGTGTGGGAATGCGTGCGTGTGTGTGTGTGGGGGTGCGTGCGTGTATGTGTGTGTGTGGGGGGGGGAGTGCGTGTGTGCGTGGGGGAGTGCGTGCGTGTGTGTGTGTGTGTGGGGGTGCGTGCGTGTGTGGGGGGGGGGTGCGTGCGTGTGTGTGTGTGGGGGTGCGTGCGTGTGTGCGTGGGGGAGTGCGTGCGTGGGGGAGTGCGTGCGTGTGTGTGCGTGGGGGAGTGCGTGCGTGTGTGTGTGTGTGGGGGAGGGCGTGCGTGTGTGTGTGTGGGGGTGCATGCGTGTGTGGGGGGGGGGTGCGTGCGTGTGTGTGTGGGGGGGAGTGCGTGCGTGTGTGTGTGTGGGGGTGCGTGCGTGTGTGTGTGTGTGGGGGTGCGTGCGTGTGTGTGTGGGGGGGGGTTCGTGCGTGTTTGTGTGTGGGGGTGCGTGCGTGTGTGCGTGGGGGAGTGCGTGCGTGTGTGTGTGTGTGTGGGGGTGCGTGCGTGTTGTGTTGTGTGGGGGGGTGCGTGCGTGTGTGTGGGGGGGTGCGTGCGTGTGTGTGTGGGGGGGTGCGTGCGTGTGTGTGTGGGGGAGTGCGTGCGTGTGTGTGTGGGGGTGCGTGCGTGTGTGCGTGGGGGTGCGTGCGTGTGTGTGTGGGGGTGCCTGCGTGTGTGTGTGTGGGAGTGCGTGCGTGTGTGTGTGTGGGGGAGTGCGTGCGTGTGTGTGTGTGTGGGGGGGTGCGTGCGTGTGTGTGTGGGGGAGTGCATGCGTGTGTGTGTGGGGGTGCGTGCGTGTGTGTGTGCGTGGGGAGCGGTGGTGAAGCGGTCAGCGCTTGGCCGCACTACCGAACCCGGCGGCCCGAGTTCGATTCCCGCTCACGAGCCAACATTGATGACGAATATTTTAACCGGTCCTGGGCCTCCCCTAGGTCGACTCAGACTCAAATGAGTACCTCGTGCGGTGTGTAAACGTTGCCACTAGGGAGACAAAGGCGGCCGGGCGTGGTGTTGGCCACCCACCGCTTCGTGTGCCGTGCGGGCCTTCATAGGTGGTTGCTAGCAGCACTTGCCCCAACAGTCTGTTCAGGCTACCCGGGGCATCGTTGTCTTTGTATGCTTGGCCTTTTGAGTTTTGGGGTCTTTGCTAAGTAAACCATCATTATCCCGCCAGGGTCGATAAAATAGGTACCATTTTATGGGAAGCTGAACGGTGTATTCATGACGCCTGCCATAGCAATGTGGAAGGGCATTTAACCTTGTGGCCAGGTGCCACAGCAATCCGAGTTTCCGCTCTCAAACCGGGGCTAGACTCAGCTACATCATCCCACTGGGGTGGTTAAAATTAGTACCACGTTGTGTACCATGGCCAGTGGTCAGTAGCTGTCCCCTGGCATGGGAATGTGGAATTTTCGCGGCTTTGCTGGGGTGGCTGCCAGCGTCGCAACCGTGCCTCCAATTTATTCTCAGAATATTAGCTTTTTTTTTCTTCCATTGTCATTAAAATCTATCAAAATTAATTAAAAGTAAAAATTTTCTAATGGAATTTAAAGTTCCCACTAGGGGGATGAGCGTTACAATGGAAGAGTTAAGTAAGAAAGTGGGAGGATTATAAATGAATCAACTCTTATTGCCTTTTAATATTTTTTATATTTCTCTTTCAGCGATTGAATTTTCGCGCAGACGCAGGGAAGAAAAAAACGCGTGTTGGGTCACGTGCATCCGTATTGTTGCCTGGCTTTTTTTTAAGCGAAATGAATTATAAAATAACGTCAAGTAGACAGAGTCTGACAGACATGTTCTCCACCTGAAGACGGCTGCTTGCGTTGTGGCTGAAACGTCGTGAGAATTATTTTATTATGTTTTATTTTTATTATTTTATTATTTTCCTTCTACGTGACTTTACCGAAAGAACCAAGAAGATGAATCCCTGCAGTCACGAAAGCTTTAAATCGAAACGTATATATACTAATAGGGTTTTCCCCTTTTCTTTCTGGCAACAAAACTGACACATTTTGCAAGGAATCATGCTTACATTAACCACAATACTTGCAGTCAAATGCAAAAAAAAACAATACTCTGATAATTTATGCATTGTCTTTGAAACTGATTGGTCCACACCAGAGACAGCTTTCTTTAGAGCCTAGTCTCATATGGTGTTCGACCAGATGACGCAAAAAGGCGAACGTATTTTAGTTATTTTGCACACGTTGAATCATTCGCCTTTGCGTGAAGGCGCGAGGTTGACCGGGAACGCGTCGTCACCATGATAATCAGTGTCACCCTTACCCCCCCCGCTCTCTCTCTCTCTCTGAGCCAGCTGAAGCCTCCCGTAACCACGTGACTCCTGTGTGGCCACTCCTACTCCTGACCCCGCCCATTTGTACCTCGTTGCCGCCCACTGTGAGAACAGACTCTGCTGCTGCTCTTCAGCAACAGCAGCGTCCGCGCGATCAACCAGGCGAATGA